AAGATAGTAAGGATTGCCACAGTAAGGATTGCAAGGATTGCCAGTCTTGCTTCTCTGAGAATGGAGTTTCAGAGTCTGGGAGCAACCATTAAGAAGGCCCTCTCAGGTTTTGCCACCAAACATACATTTTAAGGCTCTTCTTTTTTAAAAAAATGCTAATGCATCTCAAGGCCCTTTGCTATAAATATTATGAAACAATTAGCCACTCTTGGGGAAAAGATGGAACATAAAGTGACTGATATTAGGAGCATGGTGATGACTGAAATTCTGAGGATATGTCATTCCTTGTAAACTCAAATCATTCCTGAATATTGGAATATATAATAGACAAATCTCTAGAAAAAACTAGCCAACATGTGGTTTCTCATTTTGTTTTGTAGGCAATTCAATCCTTTGCTCTGCCTGTGTCCACGACAACAGCGTCTATAGCAGGGTTTTTCAGATCTTGTACAGGAATGAAGAGATTGTCATTAATGAATCCATGAACTTCAGGGTTCATCTTCTCCTGGATGGTGAGAAGGTGAGAAGTTTTCTTTGGTTCCATACTTCCCTGATCCAAAGACAAGACTTGGATTGAGAATTGAGGGGCATGACTGAATTAAGGATCAGCATAAGGATTTACAATGAAGAACAACTGACTGAACCCTCAAATCAAAATGTGGACAGGCAGAGATGGTCCAAGGCTACCTGAGGCAATGGAACCAATATCATCTTCATTAGGGAATGAATGGATATTTGAAAATATTCAAATAATAGAAACAAATGAGCAGACAGTTCATGACTTAGCGTGTCCTTGCAAATGTGGAACTTCTGTGCAGAAAATAGAATTTTTTTATGCAGAATGGTTTTCTTTTTTTAAAAAAAATGTGCTTAAATTTTTGTTTTTTGCATATATTTTTTGCAGAACCCCCCCACATGTGTCCTTCCCCCCTCCACACACAATAGATCTTCAACTCTGAATAGCCCTCAAAAATGTTGCAATTTATAAGGATTTTCTCACAGTAGGGAGACAACTGGCAAAATAATTTGTTCCTTCCTTTGCAAATAACAGTTACAAGGATGTATGTCCCTGTCTCCTACCCACCTATGTCAAGGCCCATACTTCCACAAACCAAAATAATGAAATGTTATTTTGACACTTGAGACAGATAATCCCACAAGTACCTGTCTCCATTCTTCTCAGTAAAAAAGAATACAATAGTAATACATTACACTGCTAACTATGCACTTCTCTTTTGTATATCCAAATTTGTTGTCTGAGCCAGTTGTTTTGCTGTGTGTGATGGTTGAAGTAGCTCTATAGGCAGGTAATACATTGATGTGAGAAAGGGAATACCTTTTCTATCTTCGGACTGGGCAAGAAAACTGCTTCAAGTCCCAGTGCTGATTCATATAACATAGAGTAGGTCTATACTTGCCAGAATACTCCAAACTGTTCCTGGAGTATTCATTCTTCTTGTCTTTGGTCCAGAAGAGGGCAATCAGCCCTCCATATCCACAGTTTCTGGCTGTCCTCAGAGTATTCTGGCCCCAAAGCTGCCCTGTTTTCTCCCCATTATCTTCACATTTTGCAATGATGTCAAGCAGACAAGTCTTTTACATTTGATTTAAAGGAGGTATGGTCCAGATTCACTCAGGGACTGCCTTTTCCATGTATGGACAGTCAGCAGTCAAATTGGACCTGTGACCCTGCATCATCTAGATAGGGTGACATGAGGGCAGGGGAAAACTGCTGCAAATAGCTCATGTAGACACTCCCATAGTGTAATTTAATCTGGATCTAACCCTTAGTATTAAAATGAGAACTTTTTTTTTTTAATGAATGAATTAATGGAAATATATGTGGCTGAGAAATGTTACACACAAAATCCTGTTCTTTCCTATGGTTTGTTACTGTACAACAATCTCTATCAGTGTTTCCCAACCTGTTGTAGGTGGAGAAACAGTGGAAGAGAGAAGATGGTAGCAGAAGGAGGTACACAGATATTTCTGAAATGCACATTTAACCTTTCAGTAAGTCAGTGTCTGAGTCATTATGGATACTAGAGCTGTGCTGTCCCAGTCTTACTTACATGGACCTAGTTATTACATCTGGACTATGCCACTTCAGATTGAAGAAAGGCTTGACTTGACAGAATACTCCTTCACTGTTAGGACTGCTGGGATTTGTAGAGAGCTGTCCCATATGGTGAGCCACTGTATTGCAGGGTTGGTTTCTCCAGGTAATAATAATAATAATAATAATAATAATAATAATAATAATAGTTATTTGTATACCGCCCTGTGGCGAACCAATCCGGTCTTGCACTGATTCAGCTTTGGCTACTTCTAAGCAGGAAAGATCCAAGACTCTTTGGCCTTTGAATCCTTTTGGTCAGGAAAAAGTACAAGCAATGTGGATGTACTGAATTCTAGCATGTTCCCAGCTGGACTGGTGTCTCCATGTCAGTGGAACAATTAATCCATTTTGAGCTTTAGTTGAAATTTTCTCTTTTCATTATCATCTTATGATACCTCAGGGAAAAAATTAAGTGTCGCCCACTTTCAGATATTCTGGTAACTCTTCAGGTTCTAAGCAATGTTTTCTACAGCAGAGAGATGATACAGTACTCTCCTCAGGTCCCAGCTGTATCCCTCCATGGTTCTCAAACTTTTGTCTTCCAGATATTTAGGACTTCAGCTCTCATAATTCTTAACTGTTGGCCAAGCTGTTGGCCAAGCTTTGGGAGCTGAAGTCCAAAAGCAAAGCAGCTTCATTTCATTTATATACCACTTCATATTTTCCAAAACACTTGGAAGACCAAAATTTATGAATCACAGTGTTGCATTTCAATGGTATTACTCCTCAGCATTAGCAGACTGCACAAGCTTTCACACAGGTATAATTTGCATTGCAGAAATAATGCAGTTTGATAATACTTTAACTTCTATGGCTCAATTCTATGGAATTCTGCAATGTGTAATTTTGTGATATATGTAGCCTTCTCTGTAAGAGCACCCTGGTGCCACAGCTAACAACAATTCTCAGGATTCCATAGTATGGAGCCATGACAATTAAAGCCATGTCAAACTGTATTATTTCTGCCGTGCAGATTAGGCCTCACACAGTAACATGGCTGAGCTTCTCCAGAATCTGTCTTGGCACACCATTTTTTAAGCTGTCAGTCAACTAGCTTTCTGGTAGCTATATTTCCTTAGTGCCACTTTAACTAACACATTGATCCATAGTGATGGTGGACAAATGTCTTATCTGTCTGAAGCAAATGAGTGGTGATTTATGTGTGCCTGCTGATAGATCTCTCATGAGGCTTCAGGTTCCATTTCATCATACTGTATTTAGTCTCAATCTTTTTCCTTCTCACCGCTCTACTCTCTGCTCCCCTGATTTTTCAGGAACTGGCCTGTAATGGTGGATTTTCTGTTTTAACTGTTACAGGTAGAAGAAACATTATGTGAAGCAGATTTTCAACTCAAGCTTGATTTGCAGTTTACAGATAGTGAACAACAGTGAGTAACTTTCCCTTGACTAAGGCAGCATCTAGAGATGTTAGAAGAACTATATCTTTGTGGATTTTGATATGACCTGAACTTATTTGCAGCTTCTGGACTGATTTGCACATGGTGATGTAGCTGACCTCTGAATTTTACACATGGCTGATTGTTGCAGTATACCAAAATGTATTTTAAAATGTCCCACACTTCTTTCTTCCAAGGTTCCAAAGATGTTTTACCTACTAAGGCAAATTTCACCCAATTCCAAAATATGGGTAAACACTGTGCAAAGACAGCCACGTGACTTTGCTATGTAAGAAAATTGTCCAAGTGCCTCTAACTCTCCTCAGGGAAAAAGAAAAGAAGAAGCAGAATCTTGTCCTTCCCATGAAGTTTGGGGAAAGCAATCTGCTGCAGCCTCTCCTAGCTTTTCTGTTTTCCTGCATTCATAACTTTGCCATCTTGGCTACACTCTTGCTTGGCCACATGTGACCTGGCTTTCATCTGAGTAATGTTAGAGGGTATGCTTTCCCTGACAGTAAGAATACAATAATAAAGTAAATAACCAGTAATGTGTTTCCTCATTATGGACAAAGTAAAGCAAGTTCTCACTCTACCTAATGATAGGATCAGAGCAGGTCCAGATTAGTCCTGGAGCAGCAGAAATTCTAGGAAATAGGAGCTTGATGGAGCTCATATTTTGTAGGCACGTCTCTCTTTCCCTCCATATTCACATGTACTTCCAGTGGGAACATGGAAGATGGTAAGAACCTTCTCAGTGGCTGTTCTCAAGCTCTGGGACCTCCTTCCCAGAGATGCCAGACTAGTTTCCTCCTTGCTATCCTTCTGTAGGCAAGTGAAAACCTTTTTATTTCAGCAGTCCTTTGAGAATTGCTCAGGGGTGACTATTTTTTTTACTTTTTTGACAGCTGTACTTTTAAGGTGTTTTTAGCTGCTTTTGATTGTACTTATAATATAATTGTATTTTTATCTTCTGTATGATGTGAACCTTTTAGCTGTACTTGTTTTAACCTTAGTAAGCTGCTTTGAATCCCAAACTAGAGAATAATAATAATAATAATAATAATAGACAATGACATTTTCATTGCCTGCTCACATGTTTAGGATCAACTATACTGGTATTGTGAGTCAGTTGGTGTAGTGGTTTGTGCATTAGACTATGACTCTGGAGGCCAGGGTTCAAATCCCAGCTTGGCCATGTAAACCTATTGGGTGACCTTGGGCAAGTCCCACTCTCTCAGCCTTAGAGAGGGCAAAATCCTTCTGAAGAAATGTGCCAAGAAAACCCCATGATAGGTTCCTCTTAGGGTCACCATAAGTTGGAAATGGCTTGAAGGCACACAACAACAATAACAACATAATGGTATGGATGAGTCTCTGTTCTCACTGCTCTCCCAATTTATGAACATATTCTCATTAACAATATGAGCATGGAAAACGAGATCAGTACTGTATTGTCCTTTGCCTTCCTACTCTACTCCTTCCTTGCACTGCCTAAGCATGCTGTCTGATTTCTGCTAACAGCTTCTCACAAAATGACAAAAAGAGGTTTAAGTCCAATAGTTGCTTTTAAAAACAAAATAGCACACACAGCCATCCAGAAGGATCTGATGGAATGCAAGTCCCTGTGTTTTTCTTGCAATGGTGTAATAATATCGACACTATTGCTACAAGTACAATTAAGAGCTAAGCACCAGCCTTGTAAATATTCCTTGTTATCAAAAGAAATCAAAAAATCCAGTCACACCATGGTCCCCAGGGTTTTAATGATGTAGGGGAATGAGTTGATGGAAGGCTGTTTCTCTTCAACTTTCTGAATCTCTCTTTTTAGGCTGAGAGATGTCACCACCATCCCAGTAATAAGCAGTCGCACTTTGGGGCTTCATTTCCACCCGAAGCAAGGCCTGCACCATCACATCCCTGTTATGTTTGACTACTTCCACCTGTCTGCAATCTCCATTACTCTGCATGCCTCTCTGGTGGCTTTACATCAGCCTCTCATCAGGTAAGCAAAAGTGCCTCCAGTTTCTAAAGAGGAAAATCAGTTCCTTTGCTTTTCTGTTCCCTACTTGTCTTGAATAATGGTCAATATGTGAGTGCTCATATGTTCTTTTTTTTAACAGTTATTTTGCTTTTTTTTAAAAAAAAATATAGCAATGGAAAAAATACAAAATATACAGAACTGGTAAAAGCCCACAAATATATTCCTTGACCTCAATAAAATCCCCTTACTTTCCTTTATTTCCTTCCATTCCTCTCATTCTTGTCTACATTTCAATTTCTTTCTCATATTAATCACCAGATATACTATCCACTTAATTTTCCCACTGCTAATTACATGTATAACCAATATGAGTATTAGTTTGGTTCAGTGGATGTACTTACCAGTTGACATCAGAAGGACTTTTAAAAAAAAGAATTAGAGCTTTTACTATTTGCATTCAAATGTTGCAATACTAGTCCACTGCAAAAGGGATCACCATGTTCTCCCATAATGTATCTGAAGGACCTCCCTATTGCCTCCCCTGATTTAGTGTTGGAAGATGTTAAAGCACTTTTGGGAATGCTGTTGACAGGAATAGGAATGTGCTTCTGGATGCTGCAAACCAGCCCGTGACTGTCAGTACCTCCATTTTGTCTGGATTCAGCTTCAATCTGTTTTTCCTCATCCAATCCATTACCGCTCTGAGACAGTCATTAAGAGGAGAGACACCATCTGAAGTCTGAGCCGATGATTTGGTCATGGAAAAATATATTTGGGTGTCATCAGCGTACTGAAGACACCGTGCTCCATGCCTCCGAATGATCTCACCCAGCGGCTTCATATAAATATTGAATAGCATCGGAGACAGGATGGCGTCCTTAGGGATACCACAATTAAGCTCGATTTTGGAAGAGCAACTGTCCCCAAGCCTCAC